TTATAAAGAGACTTGTGAAGACGGTGCTGATATTCATCTTCAAACGGCTATTGATAAGGTATTCGAATGGTCTAAATCCAATCAACTGCCTCTTTCTTCTGAGAAAACTCAAATTATGTGCATAGGCAAGCATTCTCGTAATCCACAGTATCGTTTGGGAACTACGGACATCAAGATTGTACCTGAAGTCCGCGACCTTGGCTTCCTGTATGATAGAACTCTTTGTTTTTCCAATCATTACAAATCGTTAGTGGTTAAAGCTTTCCGCAGAATATTCAATGTTTTCAGAGTACTTCGTACAACTGATCCCTCTACTTTGTTGAGGGCTTTCAAGGTTTATGTTCGTCCAATTCTTGAATGTGGGACTACTGTCTTTGCACCATATAAAAAGAAGGATATTTATTCTTTAGAAGGAGTTCAAAACAACTTCACTCGTAAATTAATGCTCCGCTGTAAGTACATCTGATCTGTCCTTCCTCTCCAGTTGTATTTTATTTTATTTTATTTTGTTCTATACGTTCGTGTTGATGTTGAATAGTTTTGTAGTGTATTGTTACTAACTTAATTGTTCCACATGCCTACTGGCATGTCCGTTAATAAATAGACATGGATCTAGTTGTTCCTTCCAGTGAAGCTGAGCATTAGTCGACAAACATCTGATTCAAGCACGACAGCACAACATTCGATGAAGCGCTGACGTCAGCATACTCCTCCTAAGTAAATTACTACTTAGTGAGCCGGTATAGCGCAGCACAGGACCTTGCTGCAGTGGCACAGCTTAGCTGCACTGCGATCCAGTGTAGTCCGAGCTTGCAGAGAGGCGATTGAGGAAGTTCTCAAGGAGCGAAGAGCAGCAGTATTAGCTGAAGCAGCAGAGGCTGGGAGGAGCATCCGCAATGCCCGCCGAAGCTTTGCCAGCTACAAGACCAAGATGACCTGCCTCCGACGTCCGGATGGAACAGTTACTGCATCCCGAAGGGCAATGGAGGACAGTTACTTATCATCTGGGAGGGCAATAGAGAAAGTCATCCCTCGATAGCCATGTCCATCTGCCTACTTATCAACTGCAACAGGATGGATACGTCGTCCCCTCAGTTCTCTCTTCCGAAGTCCGACACGCCATCAAGTCGGTGAAGAATCGTACAGCACCCGGTCTCGACAGGGTCAAACCGGAACATCTGAAGAACGCCGCCAGTTATCATCAAAACTCTGGCTCGACTCTTCACTGTCTGCCTTAGAATGTCGCGGAGTGCAAGGTACGCCACTCCGTGGAAAACCAGCAGGACCGTGTTGCTGTACAAGAACGGAGACTTTGACGACATTGGCAACTATCGCCCAATCTGCCTGCTGTCTGTAATCTACAGGGTGGGCCAAAACTATGAGGACCAAAGACATGCCCTGCTGGTTCTATAAAACGCATTAATAGCTGATGGGAACAAACCAACTTTTTGAGGTAGAGCGGTTTGTAACTCTTATCTCAAAGTAATTCCAGAATAGAATTGAGATCTGCCGCCACCTGCCGCGTTTACACGAGCCTTCAGATGAAGGGGGATGGCGCGTGCGTGGCACGCAACTGAGGCGTGTCAAAATGTTTCCAGGCCTTCTGCTCTACTTTCTTCAATGGATCAAAGTTTTGTGTGGCATTCATTTGCCTCTAGGGTGTAAAATACAGAAATCTAGAACTATTTAGGTGACAATTCAATTTAATTCCAAGTCATTTGCTAGCCATGTCTCGAAAGCAACGAACTCGAAAAATTGCTTTTCAGGGAATTTTCCAGGTCTTCTCAGGTGCTCGGTCCTGTGAAAAGTCGCATGCAGGGTCAAGCGAGGCGTCGAGGAAAATTCGGAAATACGAACCCCCCGCGCCCCCAATGCCAAGCCACGAAACAACGCCTCTTCAAAGCTATTCGGAACGTATGATACGAGCTATACGAGAAAAGGTTGAAAAGCTTGTTTAATTTCCCCCAAAACTGCTCATAAAAAAGCCCTGCTACCCCACCGCCCACAAAAAAATTCGTTTAAGAAGTACAAAAGTGAAAAAGTCAAAGAATAATCATTATTGATGAGTCCTACCAAACGAGCAAACGAGAAACAGACCAGAAAACGACAAACTAGCCACTAAAAATGGCATACCATGACAACATCTGTTCTTTATTTATTTCCTCCACAAGACTTACCAAATTCTTTGGTATCAGTACGTACACAGATTGTCCGGCTCTTCTCAATTATGTGCACATAGCCTTCAGGTGAAAAAAAAAGCGTTTTCAACGCTCGCCAGCTGTTGGGTGGTTAATTGTGGTGCTGTGTGTTGACTGGACTTTGGCGTTGACCGTGGAGCAGCTTATTTACTATTGAAATTTAAACAAATATTCAAATGATTATAACTTTCTTCAAATATGACGAATTTTCAATCTGAAAGCAGATTTGGGAAGTTTTGTGAAGAGCTTTTTCTAATCAGTATGAAATTACAAAAAGTTATAAGAAATAACAAATTTAGATCAAATAACGAGGAAAATTCGAGACGAGCACGAGTTTTTACACTTTCCGGAGCAATAACTTGCTTCATTTCCGTCAAATTCAAAAAGTTGATACGTCATACAAAACTAGAAGATTTTCTCTATCAAAAGCCGTTGCTAAGCAGAGCTTTTATAGCAGTAACAGCGTCAGTACTTAAAACAATGTGCTCCACGTTGAGGATTTTTGCAAAATTAACGAGGAAAATTCGTGATGGAGTGCGAGTTTTTTACACTTTCCTAAAGCCATAACTCCGTTCAAACTCATCCAATCCGAAAAGTAAATACGCCATCATAAACTAGAAGATTTGCTCTATCAAATGCTTACTAGAACTGCTCCAAACGTCCAGTATTAAAAAAACGGCTACGTTGAGGATTTTCGCACGAGTACCGCCGAAAGGTACTTTTTCGCTACATTGGCACTATTTCAACGGCTGTATATCCTTTTAAGGGCGATTATGTACTAAAGTAAGAGCAGATTTGAAATCACTGCTTTTCTCTTTCTAAGAAAAGTGATTGATTAGCGTTTCTCAACTTTAAAGGTTACATGTTTATAAATTTAACCCTGAAGAGTCCGTTAACGCAATGTTGAATGGTGTACACCTCCCTGTAAATGCGCACGGACACATTCAGAATTCTCTCGTCATTTGTTCCTGAATGAGTTGTTGTCCTAAGGACCGTGAGTATGTGAGCGCTCCCGTCGCGCAACAACTACACCCTTTCTCGGATGCGCCGTGTACCTCACATCCCTTCCGATTCGGGGTCTTACTTGAAAGATGAAATATCTCTTGGAAAGCGTGCGAAATTCAGATTCTTTAACTTGTGTGGTGATAAAACACTGAAGTAACTAAGAATTACCGGACGCCTCAGAATCACGAAAATTTTGTGTGGGTGAAATATCATTTTCATTGGAAA